TCACACCACTGCACTCGAGCCTGGCAACAGAGCAAGACACTGTCTCAAAAAAAAAAAAAAAAAAAATTAATTTCTAATTATGAGTAATCAAATATGTCTGGCACCAACATAAAGTTTGAGAATCATTGGACCTTACCACCATTTCCAGGTTCATCTACTCATTCACTCACTTTTCAGACATTTCATTGATCATCTATTACGGGCCTCTCATTCATCCTCCATTCCAAGTACACTGGACACCTCTCTGTATTAACAAATATGCTCTGTCCTCTACTTTCTCATTGTCTCGACTCTAATATTGCCTCTACCTGGAATGCCTTTCCTCTCCATTTACTCTTGCTGAAAATTGTAACTATCCTACAAGAAACAGCTGTATGAAAAACCTTCCCAGATCATTCTCTCACCCTCTCGCCTTTCCTGTCTCACAATTTATTTCATCCTCCTCTGTGCTCTCGGTGCATGGTGGGGCTTGGATTACAATAGTCACATTCTCCCTCATGCTATAGTTATTTGTGTACATGGACTACATTTTATCTTCCTTAAGGGCATCTTTTTATTCTACACAGAGGTTGAATATAATAGGCATTGAATCACTGAAAGTTTCATTGAAAGAGAAAACTTTTTCTTTGAAGGTACCTAGCCTAGAACAACCAATTATAACATCCTGATAAATTCTGACTCTCCTTAAATAAAAGAACGGACAAAATGTCCATATCTAGCTTGAGATACTGCTGACAACTTTTTCTAATAGTGACTATATCAATGAAAACAATATTTGCTTCTGATTCAAGCTTGAAAATAGAAAAAGATAAGCATCTACAACCATAAAAAGGGCCAAGCTATTTGTTGATTTATGGGCTGGTTATCTTAAACTGCCCAGTGAATAGTTACTTGACTCAAACAATTTCCTGAGGGCTGGACTTTGGCAACTTCAAACTATTACATCATGTACAACAGAAGAATTGTATGCTGATAAAGGACAGAAAGTCTTATTTTTCCTACACAAGAACTTAGGTAACTGTCATAAATAACAAATTTCTCTAAAATTTGTTAAAAAGTAGTTGGAAAGAAACAAAAAGAAGGCACATTTCACTTTGTTATAATTGACAAATTGTAAGAACTAAGAAATGACAGCAGCAGGCTACTTAGCCCTTCCTTATAAAGATCCATAGTTGTATAATTTACTGACTTCTAAGGGAGGCAGCATGGTAGTAGAAAGAACATAGTAGTTAAAAGTATAGCCTCTGCAGGGCCAACAACATTGCAGAACCTCAGGAGGTAACATGCTTACAGTAGAGATCCAAAGGGTCCCATTCCTAGATAACATTATGTGAATTATACAACCTGGGGACACAGAATTAGTGGAACAGAACAAGTCTCAGCTCCACCACCTAACACCTGTGTCATACTGACAAAGTTATTAAACTAAGTCTTAGGTACTTCATCAGAAAAAAATGGGATTAATAAATAACATCTATCTCATAGGATTGTTATAAGAATTAAATAATGTAAATATGTATAATTAGCCCAGTGCCTAACATGTGATAAGTGCAGAATAAATGTTTTGATGATGATCATGATGAAGATAACGATAATGAAGAATAAGATGAATCCACATTCCAATCCTGGCTCCATCACATTCAGGCCATTTACTACCTATAATAAATATGATGTGCTAAAAGGATGCAACAAAATAATGTATGCAGAATACGCAGGGTCAGGTACAAAACAGGAGTTCCATAAATAGTATGATTATGATTACTGACCATCCTCTATACCCATTCTCTCTCCCTCTCTCTCATTTTCTCTCTTACAGGAAAACACACACACACACACATACACTACTATAAAAATTCCAGAAGATTAAACTATAATCAATAGCATAAATCCCAAAGCCATATAAAAATGGGGAAAACGTATTCTTTTTGTTTTATGTGTTTTTTTGAGACAGAGTCTTGCTTTGTCACCCAGGGTGGAGTGCAGTGGTGCCATCTTGGCTCACTGCAACCTCTGCCTCCCAGGCTCAAGTGATTCTCCTGCCTCAGCCTCTCTAGTAGCTGGTATTACAGGTGTGTGCCATTACACCCAGCTAATTTTTGTATTTTTAGTAGAGACGGGGTTTCACCACCTTTGCCAGGCTGGACTCAAACTCCTGACTTCAAGTGATCCACCCACTTTGGCCTCCCAAAGTGCTGGGTTTACAGGCATGAGTCGCTGTGCCCGGCCTGGGAAAAATGTATTCTAAAAACAGCACATTCTCAATACAATTCACCTAGACTACAAAAACTTTCTAACTATTCTTTCCCCTCTAATCCCATCTATACAATATTGCAAAAGCAAACTGATTAATCACAATTAGCTCAGAAAACTTCAGCAACAAAATACAGCCAAAACTCTGGCTTTGAATGGCCTTCCATAATCTTATCCCATGCACATTTCCAACCTCATCTACCAGTACACATAAAACACATACAAAAAGATTTGTTCTGTGCACATGCCCAGGATTCTTTTTCCCCCTCAATCAAGGAATGCTCCTCCCTTCTCTACTCCCATCTTCCCAGTCCTACCTAATACTAGCAATCTTTTCCACTCAACAAACCTATTTAAAGAAGTCATACCACTGGCTACTTAGTAGTGATAGGAACTAATAATAGCCATACATCATCAGGAAGGAGCAGTCATTTACATTATTTCCCCAATGTACTGTCTTTTTAAATACCTCTCCACGCCAGCTGAGATTTCTCTCTCCCTCCCAGGAACATCATGAATCAATATTTAACCAGTGTAACAATACTTTATTGGAATACGATGTAGAAAGTTACATTGCTTTACACTCAACAAATGCTCATTTCTTGTTAAACAAATAAATGAAGAACTCAGTTTTGTGAGACCAATTAAACTCACATTTTTCCGTTTAGAGATAACTCAGTTACAGGCACAACCAAACAACTCTTTAGCTTGTCCCTGCATCTCTTGCCTAAATCAAATCACACCTAAATCTTACCTTGTGTTTCCAAAAGATCTACAGAAGAGATACTCTATTTTATGGTCATTAGGACAAACGAATTGTTTTTTCTCAACCCTACTCCCAATAGCAGCAAACTAGTAACAGCAGTGGTTAAAGGAAAGAAAATCAATAGCAATCTATTAGGCCCCTGGATAGCCAAATGAGTTCCAGAAAGTTGCCCTATATTATTATTAACCTGATTCAATCATTTAGAACCAGAGACTTTTATCCCTAATTTTTTAAATCACTAAGCCTTTTTTTTAAATTTAAACACTTGATTGCATCTACGTACTATTTATGAATCATTATAAACATACCCATGCTCAAATTATTTCGGTACAAACAATAATGAAAGTATGGCAGTGCTATCAACAAGAGGAAAAAAGGAGGGGAAGCAAACTGACAGCACTGGCTTGACTCATTTCTGTTGGGAGAACACTGGTACTGAATGGCACAAGCAACTCCAGTGTGAGAGAGCAAGCACATGACTGACTGGGAGGGTGACAGAGGATACCAAAGAAAGGAGAACATCTATAAAGAAGCTTTCCTCTCTCTGTAGGGGCAGGAGGTGAAGGGATGAGTAGGAATCCACCAAAATCTAACAGCCTTTACAATACTCAAATGAAAACATGCTACCAGACTTCACACTTTAAGCCAGTTCACATCCTAGCTCTACCACTGAAAATTGAGTGACCTTCAGCAAATTACTTATTCTCTCTGGTTCTTTCAGTTGTAAAATTATAATAATGGTAGCCCACTTAGTGAATACAAACTACATGTTTGACACTGTGCTAGGCACCAGACACATGATATGTCTTCTAATTCTCACAATTAATCTGCCAAATAGTGATTATTTTTCTCATTTTGCAGGAAAGAAAACCCATGTTCTTTCTACCTATGTATAGCCGCTTTCTAGAGGGACAATACTACTACCTGGCCAGGTTGTACTGGGAATTAGAAGTAAATGCAAAGCACTTAGCAAAGACCCAGCACTTGCCTCATATTAGGAGCTCAGGAAATCATTACTGTACGAATACAACCATCATTTGAGTAAGTGCCTTAACTCAACACCAGTGAAATCCCAGAAACCAGTTTCTTCTCACATCATCTACCATAAAGATGACTTTTAACTAGCAGTAGTTTGGGAGAATCCAAAGCTCATCACTTATAACTGCTTAAAATACCAAAGTATCAACCATCCGGTATCCAAAAAAAAAAAAAATTTAATACACACACAAATACTGTTTCTTAGTAGAAGCTCAAAACATAAAACTCAAGGAAATAGCCCATTATGAAAGTGATATTTGACTCAATCTAAAGATCAAATATTAAATATTTTACTTTCAAAAGGATTATAGGCCTCAAGGGAGCAGGTGTTAATGAACAAATCTATCTAAACTCCAAAAAATAATTCCCAGAAGCATCTGTTATCCTTAAGTACTTGGCAAACCATTTACCAGAATTGACAACATATTGCCAAAATCTTAGTGGATTTTGCCAGCACTATTCTGCTGATAGGAAAAAAGAGTAATTCAGCTACTTTCCAGCTTAGCAACAAAACAGGCTCTTTTCTTCATTATTACTTTAACCAGTATGTTAATACTGAAAAATATAAAGAAATCACAAATAACCATCTCTGTTTGAAGGAAATTTAAAATACTAAACCCACAACTCTTGCCTTTAATTCTAACAAACTCAAGAAAATCTATGATTTTTTTGAACAAAAAACAAAAATTAAATCTCCAAAATTTAATAACTGAAACAGAGAGGAGGGGGAAAGAGCAGAAACAACAGCTTGAAAGATGCCTCTTGAAAATTGAGAATCCTAAAATCTCAATCTCAAAGTTTAAACTACTGCTTTTAAAAGAAATACTTTATTAATCAATGCTTGGGAATATTTTTTTTAAAAAGAAAGAAAACTTCACAAAAACTAACCAGTTCCTGCAATCCTCCATCCATCCATTTTTACCACCACAACAACTAGAATACTTACCAGACAGCACAGTCAACCTCCAGCAAAAGACCTCTAATCACGAGGGTAACTGTGGGGCAAGTGATACAAGAATGGGGAGGGACAAGGGAATAGCTAGAGCGGTCGGTCGGGAGGGAAGGGCAGGAGGGAGGAGACAACTGTAGCTAGCAACAATGAGAAGCTGTGACTCTAAACCACAAAGGCTTCCCACAGAACAGGATATCAGGGAGAAGGCAATTCTTTTTACCAACTACCAGGAACTCGGCACTGACAATTCATGACAAAGTTAAAAAGGTGGAGCTTCCAATTAAAAGCAAAGTAAACTTAAGAAACTAACCAAAAGTAACTTGAAAGGACATATCACAAACTTCACTTGAGGCTTAAGACAAACAATCATGAAGCTGTTTCCTGGGCATTCCTGATGACAAAGGTCATCAGACAATAACGTCTGCAGGGTGGCTACTGCTTCTAAAGGGCCAGTCCCCCAAAAAACAGTCCTTTGCACTGCAGTCAAAAGAAGCACCAGAAGACAACATTTTTGTAGTTGTTGACAGAATAATCAAAATAATATTATTGTTTGAATCCCTAATTCAGAATTCCAAGACTGAGCTTAAATTAAATCAAATCATTTTAATAGGCAAAACTCCTCCAACTCTTAAACGAGCCACAGTATTAAAGAAAATTATTATTTAAACTGAGCCACTGGAATCTACTGAGCCAATTTTAAAATGCTTGGGATCTAAAAGTTCTCAACCCCAAAGTCCACAACAGGGAAAGATCTCCACCCTTCTCTCAGGGAAGAGACCTAGTTATATCACCAAGAACAAACAGCAGGCAGGATCCCACCCCCAAACATGTGATCAGTCAACCCAGAACTTGCATTTGCAGGCAGGGCACAAAGGCCCCAGAGGACCAACACACACCCTTCTATGTATTACTTGAGATTATAAAACAGCTTTATTGAAAGAGGTTATTTTATAAGCATACTGATGGGAAAAAAAACAACTCATTAGTAGAATCCCTGCCAAATATGAAGGTTTGTTGTATTTCTACAGGTTAAGAGAAATATATGAGTTGACTAAAAAAAGATTTAAGATTTATTGGTAAAATTTAACAAACATGGGCAATGTCCAAAACTAATTAAGCTCTTATATTTTAGCAATACAGTATGTTAAACTGAAGTAGTCCTTTGGCAACAAGGAAAGTGCCACACATACATACATACACACACACACACACACACAACACACACACACAAAAGATACTGCCACTTTTCTTATTAGCCATTAGCATTCTAACTCAGGTCTCCTAGTACCAGGTAGAAGAGGTAGTAATGCCATTTCAAAGTGTGAAACACAAAATTTCTACTGATAAGTGCTGACTGCAAATAAAGATATACAAAAGCTCTTCAATCAAGTCATTAAAATATAGGTATATATTCATTGTGAAACTAATCAAATAAAACTAGAGTACTGGGACAGAGTTACAGAGCTTCAACCCTAATCCCAATTAGATAACATTACTTTTCATGTCTCATCCAGGTAAGGAAGTGATCCACAGGGAAATCTCACTCTAATAGATTGTAACCTCTTCAGAGACCCCTCAGAAAACACCTCCCATAAAGCTCTCCTATGGTATTCAATTTCTGCTTTGCATAAATTATGTTCAGACATTTCTTATTCCCTCTTCAAGACTGCACAAGAGGTTATGTGCCAAGTAGAAAGAGAACCTTGTATCAACCACTGGGCTTCTCCATTCAAAACATATTGGGTAACTACAGGTTTGTGTTAGATGAGTGTCAAATTGCCTGTAGAAAGGTTTTGTAGGCCAGGCATGTGGCTCACGCCAATAATCACAGCATTTCGGGAGGCCAACGCAGGAGGATCACTTGAGCCCAGG